CAGTCTACACCATGGATCCCCCCACATAAACAGTTTTATTCAAGTTGTTCACTCATTCACTACCTTTCACCACTGTACTTAGGGAAAATATGTAAAGGGTTTTCTTTAAATATTTTGCCTCTGTCTCTAGTAATCAACGGTGATGATCTTTACTTGGAAAGATGAGATTTGATGAGAACCCAGAAGATACAAGGGGACATAAGCAAAATAGAAAAAAGGACTTCGAGTTGAATTAAATTATTTTGCATAGATGATGTTGAATTGGTGGAGCCAATTGAATTTCAGATCTGATTATTGAATGGGCACCCACTTAGATTTGATTTGCATTAAACATGTATTAAGTAAGAAATTAGATTTTCCTGTCAATTACTTTATGACATCCAGTTAGTTGTTGGGAAGAATGTTCCTTTGGTTAACTTAAAATCCATTTAATAAAACCCAACACTTTTCTATTTAAATGCACATTTTGTTTACCAACCCATTATAAACTCATTCAAAAAATTGCAACAATTACAAAATTGGAGATCTTTGCCTCCTGATGGGTCACAGCATATTGATGCTTTGTCTTGGGGTTGCTCAATTTGAGGCGCTGATGACGCTAACCAATATAAAGATCTGCCAATAACAACCTGTCAAAATAAAATAGAAAGAGTTCCCCTTTTTCTGGAATAGGAACTAAGAAAATTTTGGCATGCCTTGAGTCTTTCTTTTTCTGCTTTGAAGTAGTTGTATGGGTACAGTAGAGAGAGAGAGTGAGAGAGATAAGGAGAGAAATTGATAAATGTGAAAAGGAATTATATGTCAAATCCAGGCCCTCAAGAGTTGGTGCAGATTTCAGTAGTAGTATTTAAAAATAGGAGGATGAGAGGAAGTGAGCTCCTTTATAGACAAAGCTGGAGTCATCAGGACTGTTTATTTGTTACGAGAAGAGAACCACCAACCCTCTTCAGAAATTGTTGTATTTTGTTGGAGGGACCCCTAGAGATTACCCAATCAAGTAACTGAGTAAGCAAGATATTTGTTTGGGTGGTGGGGTCAAATCGGATCTTATTGATCACAAGCAGAGTTGAGAGTTCACACACAGATGGCTCATTCATTCAATTGGTACACAGGAGGCCTAGATAAGACCAATAACCAACAATCCACGGAATCCTACCAAAGAGTCCAGACACACCACTTTGTCACATTGATGGTTCTAAATTTTATTCCTGCACCAGTTCTGTGCAGTGAATACAATGCAGATCTCTATCAACTTACACATCCATCAGGCATCAGAATACAAACACACGAGTAATGAGAAAAAGTTAATTCTGTTGGTATCCAATGAAGGGTATTTTGGTTAAAATACAAAGTCTATCCATCTTCAAATGACCAAAATACCCCCTTACCCTTGGCACATGTCCTGCCCAGACTTACTCAACATCAAACCAAATTCAAGAACACCCATTTATAAGACTATAATGAGCAATAAATGTAAAGTTCTTTCCAGGCAGAGGGTAGTTACAGAAATTGAAAATGGGTGGAGAATGAGAATGAGGAGATCTCACATTCTCCATGGATCAAAGCTGCAATGGGTACGTTCACAGAGTTGGGTTCTTCATTCATACCCACACAGATGTATTGTGAGGCCTCCCATTTGTTAGATGCAATGGCATTGAATGCAGTTGGGTTGGCAGCCAGGTTTAGAGGATTAAAGGGTTCCACATCTTCATTTGATTTCACCTCTCCAATCAAGAGTCCTTTCAGGCCATCCTCCATTGTTCTGCTTTGAGGAACTTTTAAATGTTCAAAAGCGATCCTTTTGCATGAGAATGAATCGTCCGTGTGCCTAATTTATGGCATGTAACCTCAGATGGACAGATTGGATTTGTCACATCAGCTATTCACGTGGTGATTGAAGCCTAACAGCACCAAGATCCTCCTCGGCGTCAATGCGGTTTTTTCAGAAAACGGTGCTAGGTCAGAAATTCGTTTTTTGAGAAAACGTCTGTTATTTGGTTAATCGTTTTTTGAAAAAATGTTATTTCAGGCCATGTTTTGGAAATCGGAAAATTCGTCTGAGAGAACCCTCTTTTTGGTTTTTTCCCCTTTTTTCTACTATTGCTAGCAATAGTATGCTGACATAGCATTAAAAATGCCTATGTGGCAGCAACAGCAATGATACCAGCTACCAAATAGAAAATCTGAGAAAATAGCATGCTTATACAGCATTATTTTCTGAGAAAACACCATCATAATTGTTCTATAGGGTTAGCACATGTAGTATTGCACTTTCAAAATTTCAAGTAGAGGGAGGAAAATCTTGGTTAAGGTTGTGTTTGGTAAGATTGGTGTTTCAACCTGTGGTTTTGAGTAAAAAGTTTAAAACACCATTTATACTTGAAACACAAACACTACTGTTTGTACTTGAATCCTGTGTGATGAAAAGCCTGTGTTTTTCATCTATCTCAGTACTACATCAACATCAGTCAGGATGTTGAAACTCTGCTTTCCAAGGTAAGAAACATCAAATTGATGTTTCTTGAAACACCTCCCAACAGGGATTTTCACTGTTTTAATTAAAAACAGTCTCCAATCAAATGGAAATTGACCATTAAACTCAAAATGCCTATTTGGTGTTGATACGATGGCATTTATTTATGCTTGGAACACCAGTAGTACCAAACTATTGGTACTTGTGATGTTCAACATGTAGAGGTGGATCCAAATCAATCTCTGTGAGCCATTCAATCTCAGCTCATAAAAAGAACTCGTTGGCTTGATCCAAATCAAGCTACAACCAAGCTCAAGTCTAACATATAGCGCCTCAACTGTTAATTATAGGGAGATCAAATAGTATGAAGTTTGGGCCATGAAGCTTGTGAGCCTAATCTAATCTGATTTTAAATGTTAAATAAGCAAGTTATTCTTCCTAATTTGATCAGAGCATGCAACATTGATGTATTTTTGTGGTTTTTTTAAATGATATAAACAAGCAGGACAAGTGTTGATTTTGCGCTCAAATTTGAGAGTGAGTACGCTCGACTCACTGTTGAGCTCGAACCGAATCGAACTGAGTTCAGACATATTAGCTTTTGAGTCAAGCTGGACTCAAGCTAATATTTCTAGCTCAAATCAAACTGAGCACAAACCAATGCTTTTGACCACGTTAATAATTTTTATCAAAGCCCAAATTTTAAAAGAACTGGACCCAGAATCAAGATCAGATGACAGTTGGAACAGTTCAACTGACCAGATCAATGTTGAATTGAAAATACCAGCACAAACTCGAGCCTTATACTTTTCTGTCGAGCCAAGCTCAAACGATTTAAGATTGAACTTAGCTCGATTTATATCAACCCCTATGAAGATGGACGAAGAAGGTTTTCTCAGCAGAAAGGGGGGTCTGAGTATCCGAATCAAAGTTTAAAAAATCGATATGTATCAGCCCGTATTGGCTGATATGTATCATACCAGAAGCACCCTGATACACTCCTACAGAGGGTGTATTGGGGTTCTGACTGGTTCAAGGGGTGGAGAAACCTTAAACCGTCCACCCCCCTGAACCAATTTTGAAAAAAAATAAAAAAAGTAAAAAAAAAAAAGTACCGATACTGCTCAATACACTCTTATCGACATATTGAGCATATCGATATTCAAAACCTTGATCCGAATATTTCAGGTTTATCTTCTCTTTTTATTTTTTGAAGGCCCATGTCTGCGCCAGACTTGTTGAAGGAAGGTTCCCATCTCATATCATTTGCTACAACTAAGAAAAAGACTTCATTATGGAAATTGTGCTTGGGGGCTTACCCACATTCCAGGAAGGTCCCTTCTCTTGATATCCCAGTATGTGGTGATGCGGCTTTAGCCCCATAAAGGCCAGATGCTTGGTGGGTTCCTGACGGGATGTAAGACCATAGGTGCTTGGTGGGTTCCTGACGGGATGTAAGATGTACATTGAGCCCAATGGCACACAACATGGAGAGTAGTAGGGGTGATCATGTTCGGTCTAGCCCAGCCCGGCCCAAAATTCCAGGTTTAGGCTTCTAGGTCAGGCCCAAGTTATAACCCTTATCATAGGCGCATACTTCTCAATACGAGAGGTATCTTATGACCAACTCGACATCAAGTGAATTGGCATGTTGTATTGGATTAATAAAAAGACCCACTTGGCTAGGGTTCAGATATAATTAAAATAAATAAGGGTAAATTATTAATACCTCCTCTAGGGTTTGGGTATTGAATTCTCGCCTTTTAAAATTTGGAGGCCAAAGTGGCACTAGGCCTAAATAAAATACAGGGTACTAATGGGGAATTTTCCCTTAAGCATAGGCCCAAAATTTTGGTATATTCTTTTTTATTTTCAACTGACCCCACACCTGGTCTTAACTCTTAAAGATTACCTGAGGCCAGAACCAACCAAAACTAAGTCCGACCATCCACAAATACACAGAATTATGGACCTGAGTCCTGAGTCCCTAGGCTCAGGCCAAAATTCTTAGGGTTTGACCTGAGTTGACCTTAAACCGTTAACTCAGCCCATGCCCGATTTGCACCCAGTCTAGCATGGATGACGATGATGATGATTTCGGTTAATTCGTTGAAGGCTTGAAGCTAATTGTGGAATTGATTCCTTGATCATTGATTGTTATTCGGTGCTAACGGAGACAAACCTGCCCGCTGGGAACAAGGTGACGATTACAGAAACAGATAATGCGATCTCAACACTGAGTTGATAAGATTAAAGACGAAACAGAAGATGGAGCAACCTAAGATTAAAAGGATTACCCCTTTTGTTACAAATAGAGAGAGAGAGAGAGAGGATACAAAAAATTTGATTCTTGAATAAGACACTTCTGTGATTGAGAGGGTTCAATTCAATGTGTAACAGGTAAAACCTTGAGATTATGTCCTATGAACCTAGTTGCAGTATTTTATCAGATGGAGCGCAACATGCTTAATTGCTTAGACCCACCCACGCATTGGGTGAATAGAATTTCAAAAGAGCATTAGAATCATTTACCATTAAACTCTAACCCCATTTCACCTTCTTTGAATAGGACAAAGAGAAACAAAGAATCACTGTCACTGATTCAAGAAAACCATAATCTAATTCCTCATGGAGGTTGTGTACTGCAATATTCACTTCTTTTGTTCTAATATTAAGGAACAATCAAACAGAACTCAAAACCCCCAGAACATGGGGCTCATTTAAGCTAGAAAAGAAAAAAATGACATGTGCCTACAGATTAACACCAAATGAGCAGTCCTATTGCAACTTCAATCACTCAGTGAGACTTCACATACTCCTGGACAATATGAAGACCCTCAGATTCCTCCCCATAATCCTGCGAGAAAATAGAGAAACCAATGATCCAATCAGCTAGAACATACTTCCCAGAAAAAGAGGTAGAATGGTATGAGATCATTTTATTATTTTACTGTCCTTTTCTTACCTTAACAACAACACAGGAGCAACCCACCACTTTCCTTGCCTTTCCCTCTGAATCAATTTTACACAACTGCATAGGGAATCAAGTAAATGTCAAAATTTTGCAAAAAAAAATTGCATGGAAATCAATCTTACACTCCATGCTTTTAACTGGGGGTGAGCAAAAAACCAAAAAATCAAACCAAAAAAACCGACCAAAACCAAACCGAAAAATCGGTTAACCAAACCGGTTGGTTCAGTTTCGGTTCTATGTTTTTAAAAAACCAAAGGCACTGGTTCAGTTTCGTTTAACCAATATAAAAAACTGGCGGTTAACTGAACTGACCGGTACACATTTCTATATATTTTATATATTATAAATTAATAGATATGCATTATATATATAAATATATATATTCATAATATATTATATATTATTTATTATTTAAAATATAATATTTTATATATATATATATATATATATTAATATTTTTTTATTATATAATTATATATTTTTATAATATATATTGTAAAAACTAAAAAACCGAAAAACCAACAAACCGAGCCGATGGTTAACCAAACCGGTCAACTGGTTAACCGACTGGTTTCAGTTTGGTTCCAGTTACTGGTTTTCCAAAAACCAGTACTACCAGTTTGGTTCAAGAAAATACCCCATGGTTCGGTTAACTGAACCATGAGCACCCCTAGTTTTAACATGGCTGTATTGCCGTGTTATAAGCATGGCAACACATGCAAGCTCCTGCCAGTGTTCACTAAAGATACTAGAGATAATCATCAGGATATGTGGTGCACAAAAGGTCCTGCTGCCACAAGCAGATAGTTCCAACTAGGAGATGATCATAAAGTTAAAGCCATGAGTAGACCCTTCAGACCTACTATCCAATCTTCACTACTGTTTTACAAAGAAGATTTAATTGAGCACACGAACATACTGCATGCATCATGTTCCTTGGTACAATATACTTAATACTTCCAATGGGAGAAACCCAAAAGAAGAGTTAATGCAAAATGCGTTTTTTCTTCATTTAATTCTAACGTTTTGGATTTAGACAGGCAATCAAATGTAAATACCAATAACAACGTTTATTAACCACCAGAAACCAGATTACAAATTAACACAAGAGCTTGAAACTATCCAGACAGCTATCCTGAAGCATGAAAAATACAAATTTGGAGAAACATTAAACAGTAATAGTTTTTTTTTACTTACACCAGCCCACTCTCCAAGAGTTTTAGCACTTGGCACCGATATCAAGCTCACATTGTGATCAGCACAAAGAGCTTTAACAAGTTTAATATAGTCTGGTTGATTACAATCCTCTGCCAATACACAGAGTTGTGCAGCGTGCTTTTCAATCACCTTAGCACCTTCATGGAGACCTCGAGTAAGGCCACCATGTGCCATGGATTTCTTCAGCACAAGCTGCAAGGCTGTCATGATGTCCATTGGCTGTCCTAGAGCTGGGGCATCAGCTGCAACAGCACCCTCTTCTCTGCAGAAACAGCAAAGGCAAGTGAGACATGCAAATTAGTAAAGAACATGAAAGAGAAAAGGTAGAGCACATACAATATGAACTTTTACAAGTATCCAAAGCACTATTAATGAAATATAGCAGCTACAAGATAGTGGTCTTGGTCATACTTTTGCAATCAACATTTAAGTAATGCAAATCTCAACCAAGTGATAGGTATTAATTAAATAAACGTTGCAGATGTAATAATTGATATCATGGATATAGAATTACATCAAAACTTCCCTTCTTAAATTTCTTAATTTTTAAAGTAAAAGACACTTATATATTCCAGTTTACAAATACATCAAAATCAGGTGTTTCATCTTGCTGAAGGCATTAGCAGCATTAAAAACTTCAGGATATAGACTACTGCCTTGGAAAATAAAATTAAAAAAAAAATTGGAAGACCGATATCACCCAGAATCCCTTTGGTAATTGTTGTTGAACAGACAAAACTTGATCTTCTTGATAGCTTGCATTGGAAAGTAATACATACCACTTCATTATATGTGTGATATACAATTTACAAAACATGAATGAATTAAACTACCACAGTACCACTTCCCTAACAGTGCTACAGAAACAATAACACTATCTTAGAAGCTATTAAGAGAAATGCATATTCTTAACTTTAAGTAAATTAAAAAATCCAAATGTGAAACTAAATTTGAGGCAACCAAAAATGAGAATTCATATAAATGGCATATGATAGAGTCGTATACATAATCCAAATCTAAACTAGTTGAGTTGAAACATAACAAGGTTAGGACTTCGGATGCTTTCAGTAGCCCACAACATATTTTTAGCAATGGATGTTATCCAATAAAAGTAGCAACATAAATGACTCTCTTCCATCAAATGTAAACAAGGAAAAAAACAAAAGGTCCTTACCCTGACATTTTTGTGGTTGCGGTTCAGATGCAAATTCTCCTTCCTGATGTCCAAATAATGAGGTGCAAAAAATCAGATTAGAGGAATAACTTGAGAAAACCAAGAAAAATATATCAATATGTCATGTATTGGAAAAAGGCATCATAACCACTAACGAATCTTAATGAAGGAAACGCCTTTCTTTTATATTGGCACAATTGGCAAGAAACTTCCATCATTCAACAATTTAGAAGTTGAAAATTATACTTCAAAAGAGCAAGCCGATATTAAATCAGATAATAGGGTAAAGCTAGAATGAGTAACTTATAACATAATAATCACGCAGTTTGAGCCCAGTTCCAGAACCAGATTCAGATAATGACCACATAACTGATTCAGACACCTGTGATTTGTGCAAACAATGAATTAAGCGTTTCCTAACAAGAACGAGTTCTTACAGGGCAGGCTAACACCCAATATTCATGGCATAATCTTTTTAACAACAATAAAGGAAGATCGCATTTAGAGAATATCAATCAGCAGTTAACCTTCAAGTAAATGCACCATATAACACCCTATAGTGTACCATTAAAGTACAAACTAACAGTAATTACCCAACTCAACCAATCTAAACCCTGAATTGTAGTCTCAAAATGCAATCAAGACAAAAGGCCCTAAAATTCGGATTGATGTACCATTCATCAACCTTCTTTCCCAACCGGACCCAAATTTTACTCAGCGTCAAATGCTTGTATAAAATAAAATACCAAGCCAATTACATTTCAGCTAACGAAGTCACATTCACACATAAAAAGGTAAAACAATAGAACAAAATACACCATTCTAAAACCAAAATTACCAGCGAAATAACCGAGAAAAAGTAGCATACATACAGCTACCTGGACTATAGAAGGCGAGAAAACAGATTACAGAAGCCCAAAGTCTTCAAACACTAACTGGGTTTAAGTAGAAAATGCTTAATGTTCATGAAGAAGTGATCATAGATCGTTGAGAAATCGAATGTAGAACGATCGTGATGTAAGGAATGGTTGCGAGTTGCGAGTTGCGATGAGTACTCACCTGAGTGATGAAGTCGCAGACCCTGTAAGCCCGTTGCCGCCCTCGGAAGACCTGTATTCCCTCGCAAAACGCGCTTTTATAACCTGTTTGATAAAACCCTAAATCCAAACAAAAATTGCAAACTTTTTAAACTGCCCCTCTGCTTTAGCTAATTCTCTAATTCTACCCTTACTGTTTATATCTTATCTTAAAGTATCCCAAGTTTTCTGACAATTGACTAATTGCTCTCTCTCTCGTGAAGTTTTGAAGTTCAGCAGGGAACCTGCAATGATTACCGCTTCAACTTGCCTGAAACCAAAGTGGAACTAAATGATGAATGCTCACCAAGCATTTGATGTTTACGGGTTATTGAGATAATGAGGTAGGTTAGGCCTTGTTTGGCAACATTCTGCAAGAGCGTTTCTATTATTCTCGGCATTTTCGTGGAACAGAAACGTGTTTAGCAAAAAGTACAAAAGAAATGAGTCATTCCTACGTGAGAACAGCACCCAAAGAATGGGTGCTATTGTCACACGTTCTTTGGGAGTGATAAATTGACGCTCTCAAAGAACACGTTCTCTAGGAATCGGTGTCATACATGCTAACCACCCAAAACCTGTTGTCGCTGTCACAGGGCAATCCTTAACACTCATCCCTCTCTTCCACCCTTTGTAATGCGTTCTTCTGGTTGTTGTGTCCTCCCACCACGTGACACATGATTTTTTTGTTAATTTTAGGCTTAATGGGGATGGATTTGCACAACCGATGTTAAGAAATAGTTTCATTATTCAAATGTTGTTTCTATTTATGTAGAAGAAAAATCCATTTTCAAAGAACATTTTGCCAAATACGTTTGTTATTCTCGAAAAACAAGAAATAAAATTTTTGTTCTAGCGCAAGAATTTTTAAAAGAATAGAAACAAGTGGAAACATTGTCGAACAGGCCCTTATTGATGCAGGTTCCTGAAAAGGGTGAAAGTAAACTTGGATTGTTTGTTATCATTCTCATCTCCTCTCTCCTAAAACTTCATCACTGCCTCCATTATTTTTCCATATCAGATGAGTTTGTTGATGTGCTTTAGGTTATAGCTGTAATTGTAAATGATGTCAAGCCACAACTGAGAACCAAACTAGAACCCACCTTCCATTATTCCATATCTCTACCGCCCTCCCCCTCCTCTCTACTTTACAAATCTGATCCTTTCCGAGGTTCACCCTTCCCTGCACAACTCAGATTTCACCGTTGCCTCCATGAAGAAACAATCCAAGTTTCAACCTTTGGCCCTGCACAACTCAAGTTTCATGAGAATTCATTATTGTGGTTTCACAGAGCCAACATGACCACCTTCTCTCTCCTTCCTTAGATTCTCTTAAGGTTTTTGAATTTTTCTTTTTTATCAATTGGGTTTTTTATTAGAGGAGAAACTCTATCTTGAACCAGAACTCATCTGAAATTCGCCTAAAACCAGAGCTCGCTTGAAATAGGGTTAGTTGTATGCATCTTGAACCAAAGCTTGCTTTAAACTAGAAGCCACATTGGGATCCAAATCTGCAAGCAGAGGCGGAGACGGAAAATGGAGATAGAGATGAAAACGGAGACAATGACATAAACGGAGTAGTGGAGGGAAAATTTGACATTTTTTCCCTTAGCACTTAACGGCAATATCTATTGTCAAAAACAATAGAGGTACTTTAAGACAATATATAAACAGTTAGAGTAGAAGTCAATTAACTAAACCATAAGGGTAGTTTAAAAAATTTGTCCAAACAAAAGTATAAAAAACTATGATAGACCCAAGTTATTGTCTATATGCGATCAATAAAGGAGCCAAGTCAGTTCAGGGTAGATGTGATCATTTCATCCCGGCCTTCTGTGGAGGCCCAAAATAAATTTTATATTCATTTAGTGTTTATACATAAAATACATAGGCCTGGCCCCAAACCTATGTTTTCAGGCTTGGAACTCAGGCTGGTCTAGGCTGGGTCTTAGCCCAAGCTACTGCCCTTACCACAAGTCCAAAGCTCAGTTCGAGCCTAGTCCAACCCGGCTCATGATCACCCCTAGTTTAGGAAGGTTTTTATATATTCTAGTCCCAAGTCAATTTAGAGGTAAAATAGCATCAACAAACACCAAAAGTTCAAGGTCTGTTTGATTCATAATTGGAATTGGAATTAGAATCAAAATCGTTCAAAATCAGAATCAGAATGATCAATTCTCATAATCTGTTTGGTTCAAAAAGGAATGGAAATAAAAATTAAAATCAGCAGAAATGAGATTTCATACTCAAAGGAGGGGGAGGGAATGACCATTCCTTCAATTTGGGAAACCATTCCAACAAGAATAGGAATGGGATTCCAATTCCGCCCAACCAAACAATTGGAACCGAAATAGTCCATTCCGATTCTGATTCCAAACCTCTATTCCTGTGAACCCAACGGGGTCTAATTGCTTGATTGAAACATTGTAGAAAATACAAACTATTAATTATCCTTTACACAATTTAAACCATTATTTAATTTAACACATAAATACATAAATTCATATGCCTTACAATAACAATATACAGACTGGGGAGGGGTTTGGTTCATATTCCTGGGATCAGAAATTATTGCCCTTTCTATTGCAAGTTGGAAAGCGGACAAACTCATCCTAAATATCGATATATCAATCATTTGTTTTTTTTTTTTTCTTTTAATGATGGCAAAGGCTTTTAAGTCATGAAACTCGTATGATGCTATCCACATATGACCCGAAGTTAATTTCGATATTACTAACATGTGAATTACGGTTACGACTAGACCTGGCAATTAGGTTGGGTGGGTCGGGTTCGGGTTGAATCAAGGTATTTCCGGTTGATTTCGAGTCAATTTGGATTTCAGGTTGAGTTTGGGTTAGGGTTAGGGTTGACCCTAAATGTTCGAGTTAGGGTTGACCCATGGGTCAATTCGGGTCATTTTAAAAATAATTAAAATTAAAAAAAAATAAAAAATTTACACAAAAAATGTCAAAATTAAAAGAATTAACCTTAAAATTCTAAATATAAAATAAAAAGCTTGAACATTTAACAATTTAATAAGTAAACAATAAAAAGTAAAGACTAAATAGAAAAAATTAAAGAGTGGAAACTTCTAACAATGCATAAATAATCTCAATTAGACTTGACAATCGGGTCAATGGGTTGACCCATGACCCAACCCATTTTTTCGGGTTGGGCCATTTTTACATTCGGGTAGCTAAATATGAGACCCTAACCCTGTTTTTTTAGGTTGGGTTGGGTCATGTTCGCGGGGTGGATCAACTTTTTGCCAGGTCTAATTATAACGTATAAATTGGGTTGAACATGTCAAATACTTTGAATGAGTTCAAGCGAAGTCTAAGCCTAATGCAGTTAAAAGTCCTCAAAATGGGCAACCCGATTTGTCCTAATAAGAAAGCCCATCTATCGTTAAAGGTAAGGCAACAGTGGGGGTCTATCTGAAAGACGGTAAATGACCAGAAGGTCAGGGCAAAGGAAAAGACAAAGGAGAGAGAGGGAGATTGTAGGAGGTTGATGGCTGATGTACTAGGGGTAATCACAGGGACTCAATGGATGATGTCATATGGAGGACCTTGAGCCTCTCCTATTTATAGAAAAGAATAGTGGGTTCTAAGACCAAACAAGGAAGGAGAGAAATTTCCCCACTTTTAAAAAGGTAGTTAGGATCGGTTTACTTTGCAATTTGCATTAGAATTGGAATTGGAATGGTCCATTCCCATAGTCAGTTTGGTTCAAATAGGAATGAGAATGAGAATTGAAATCAGTGGGAATGGGATTTCATTCCCATAGGAGGATGGAATGGCCATTCTCTCAAATGGGAGAATGCCATTCCAGCAGGAATGGGAATGATATTTTGATTCCATCCAACCAAACAATTGGAATCGGAATAGCCCATTCTGATTCCAATTCCAGACCCCTATTCTCATGAACCAAACGGGACCTTAGTCTAATAGACCTAAAACAGGCAAGCGGCTTGGGGTCTCACCACGTGTTCATACAAATTTCCTAAGTTTGGGAATTCCCGCTCCTCAGCCCCTTCTAGAAGCTCATCCATTGTCACGTGGAGTGATCTCTCTTGTGGGACCGCTTAAGTATTTAAGGGTGGCATCGCAAGTGGTACAATGTTGGGGATTCGCAATGTTGCGATGTTACAATTGCATCAGGCCTCACCTTAGCAAGCCTTTGCAATGTTGGGTTGGACAGCAAAGTGATCACAGGAGCACATAGATGGTGTTTGGAAGTGTTGGCGTTTTTTGAAACCCATTTTCAAAAAAAATGCCCATGCTTGTTAGACTCATTTTTCACAAAAAAAAAAAACGTCTTGATATGTTTGGGTGTGTTCCTGCCACGTAGGCAGTGAGCAATACTATGTTGTTTGGTAAGGTGATTTTAATCACCGTTTTTTATGTATGTGCTGACAGGTAAACACCACATAAGATATACATAATCACCAATCAGTCAACTGTTGAGTGCAACGGTTCACCAAAGCATGAAATGCCAAATTTGACATTTTATACAACAATTGGGTCTCAATTTATGAGGCATGCCCGTTTTCAGCGTTTTTTTCAAAAAACACTTGAACCAAACAATCATGTATGTGAGCATTTGTGGAATCACCTATGTGGATCCAATGTGGCATCGTTTTTTCGAAAAACGGCCACGCTTCCAAACATCCCCATAGTCTTTATTGCAGATGTGATATTGATTTTGCATTAATGCTCTCCAACTTTGTCACCTAAAATGTAGCATTCTTGATTTGCTATCATTATCACGATATTCCTTCTTTGCGAATTGCGAGTATGCATTTAGCCAACGTGGCTATTATTGGAATGGATGGTGTAAAAGAATTAAGCAAAGCCCATCATGGGGTAAAAGGATCAAGCATACTTTGAATTTTCATAAATTGATTTAAACATACCCTAAGTTTTTCAAATAGACTTAAATATACCAAGTGGGCTGATCCCACTAGACTTAAACATACCTCTATCAATGAAACAATTCATTTAAATTTTTTAAAATTCTATTTTGCCCTTCTAAACAAGAAATAGAAGAGAGAGAAGTGAGGTGGAAGAAGAAGGGATAATCACTTAAATTATTAGGAGATACAGGTTATAGTCACTTACCTTCGTTAAACACTTACATTATTAAAGGCATATAGACCGGCAATGCAATTCACCAAGTCCTTTGTTAATCTCTTTAGGCTATGTTTCATTTGAAAGAAAAAGTAGGGAAAGGAAGGGAAATGTAGGGAAACCTTTACAAATCTTATATAGGTTTCCTTACCTTTCCCTTCCTTTCCATACTTTTTCCTTCAAACCAAACATAGCCTTAATGTCTAATAGTTCCATCAGCAAAGATCTCCAATTTCATGGTTTACTAAACTTCCAACTTGCCCCTATTTCAAGAAGGTAAAGAAGCAAAAGTATCAAACCACGGAATAGGGATGTTCATAAGAAGGCCCAACCCAACCAACCCGGACCGACCCAACCTGAGTCGGTCGGGTTTTCATCAGCACGGGTCGGTTTCGGGTTGTGCAAATTCCTAAACCGATTATTCGTGTCGGTTTCAGTTTTCACACAAGAAAATTGAAACCAACCCGACCCAAACCGACTTAGTTTCTAGTTCAAACATGAAGTTCCAAAGCCCATTAGGCCACCTAGTTTTTGAATGGTTGCAAGAAACTTTGGATTAGTGAAAGTGATTAATGAACAACTTTTGTGATTAACTTTTTATTTAAACTTTATCATAGGAGATGGCTGAAATGATGTTCAATTTATGACTGTTTTTAAAATTAACAAGATTTTATCACAGGGATGAACTTAGAACCGAAACCAACCCAACCCGACTCAAACCAACCAGGTTGGTTTTTGTTTCTATGTTAGGTAACCCGACCAAGTTGGGTCGATTGGAAAAATCACAATAAACCGACCCAACCCGATCCGTAAATAACAAATAATCACATAGATTGAGGGAGTTGCACTTTTCAACGTAGAAATAAAATGCATGTTTCTCTAGATAATCTTCTACTTGTGAATTTCGCACAATAAAGATTTTAAATGATCAAACACTATACCATCCTAATTGTAAGTGACACTGACTACATCCTAGTATTTAATTCTTTTTCCAACTTTGCCTGGTTCAAACCAATGAAAGGAAGGGGAAAGAATGAAGGGAAAGTAAGCCAACCGGCACCAATTGTGAACTTGTGATAAGTTGATAGCTTCACCCCAAATAAAAATTCTGGGTTAAATCACAGGAAGAGGAGAGGAAGTAGAAGTCATAAAGTATCTTTAAGTCTTTTTTAAAAACTCAGAGTATGTTTAAATCAATTTATGAAGCCTTTTACCCATCCAAAATCATTCATTCCAATTCCAACTGTTTAGTTGAGCAAAATCATAATCCCATTCCCATTCCTCATACGTCCCCATTCCATGGGAATCAGAATCCATTCCAGTCAATTCTGATTGCAATTTCAGTGAAACAAACAAATGAAGGAAATAGACAATTTTGATTCACATTCCGATTCCAATTTTGACTGTGATCCAAACAGACCCTATAATTTACAATTGACGTTATAAGCTAATTAGGATTTAAGAATTTTGGAGAGTGCATTGGTAAATACTCTAGAGTAAAGGAGCGTGTTTTAGTAATTTTAACATTTTCATTTTCAAGATTCACAATGGCACCGCAAGTTTTTTTTTCCTGATACTCAACACTGATTTTTCTTTCGTGCCTTTCGAAATTTCACTTCAAATGCATTAGGTGTTATTCATTAGAGCATAAAAGATAACATTACAAGGTGCTGGATATGGCAACAGGCAAAACCACCTGGTCGCAACCAAGCTACAACCTAGAATTGCACAAGGTGAAACCAACAACAGAATGTATTTGTCAATACCATTCCACAACTGGTTTCCTTTTTCAGAGAATTTCTTTTCCTGAATCTATAAGGCTACTTTTTTCTGGAAGTCACATGTATAATTCCCTTTTGGTTGACAACCCATTAAAACTTGGCATCTAAAGCCTGATTGAGCATAATGAGAAGTGAAAAACAGAGATAAAAGGAAAAAGAAAATAAAAATAAAGGAAGACCCCCAGTAAGTTGAAGTAGCCGGTATCCACAGCCAGTTTGGACACATGAAATGGAAACATCTCATTTTAATCTTGCAGAGCATTTGAATACACAGCATCAGTCATTGACGACCATAGCATCCATAGGAGAATTGGTTTCCAATTTCTTGATAACCAATCTGCTATGAGGAGGAAGATCCTTTGCTGACGGAGACATATCAGCATCAACAACAACAGAGTCGTCTTCCTTAAAGTTTCCTCGCAAGACCCCCATTGCAATTTCATTCTCAACCATCTGTTGTATTACCCTCTTAACTGGCCTTGCTCCATAATTTGGATCAAAGCCGAGGGTACCTAGGAGATCAACAGCTTCACGTGTGTAATGGAGATCAATCTTCCTTTGTTTAAGCCTGTCTTTCAGACGATTAAGCTGAAAGGAGGGGGAAAACATACATGAGAAAATATCTCCGGAAGTATTAGAAAAGCATTAAATGGAAAATAAATAAATGAAGTTCCCAGGTGAATTTTATCGGATCAAGGACTTCAATTGGTGAAAGAACAATCAATACTACAAACTAAGTCAATTGCTGAAAAAAAATGTAAATAAGCACTTATATCAATGAATTCAGAGAAAAGAATCAGCTGAGATTTCTCTAAAAGAGTAAAAAACAGAGGCATGCAATTTCATGACGACCATAGGAATGAATTGGGCAATAAGGCCAAACTCAAGCTTTTACTGGTCATTGGATTGGAGAAAATAGGCCCAAGTTTATTATGACCCGGGTTCCAAGTAGGTTCAGCTTTGAATGTCCAGTCAAACTGGGGCCAAGCTTAGTTGACTCTAAATGTGGGTCAGAGGGTTACACCACAGCTCAAAGACCTCAAAATTGTAGGTATATCATCTTAAGGAATAGCATAACAATCCTCGTGGAGATTTTCTTTGGGCATTCTGAAATCATATTGACCACTTTGGGGAAAATATCAACAGCAAACAATCAGGCTTGAAGAAATTACCTGTATCTCCACAATCCTACCAATCTCCTTTGAGTCCAGTGGCTGGAAAACAATATACTCATCAATCCGGTTCATGAACTCAGGACGAAAAGTCTGTCTTGCCAACTCTACAACCTGCCTTTTCATCATATCATACACTGCATCCTTGGTATCCTTTGTGTTTCTAAGTGTTTCAAGGATATAATGGGATCCAAGGTTTGAAGTCATTATCACAACACAGTTTGTAAAACTAACTGTCCTGCCCTGTGAATCAGTTATCCTTCCATCATCCAATAGCTGTAATAGAATATTAAAAACATCTTGATGTGCCTTCTCAATCTCATCAAACAGGACAACAGAATATGGCCTTCTACGAACCACTTCAGTCAGCTGCCCACCTTCTTCATAACCAACATAGCCAGGTGGAGCACCTACCAAGCGTGCAACTGCATGTTTTTCCATGTATTCACTCATGTCAATCCTTACAAGTGCATTCTCTGTGTTGAAAAGGTATCCTGCAAGGGCCTTTGCAAGCTCCGTCTTACCAACCCCAGTTGGGCCCATGAACATGAAGCTTGCTATAGGCCTGTTTGGGTCTGATAGTCCAGCTCTTGAACGTCGGATTGCATCAGCCACCGATTTGACAGCAATATCTTGACCAACAACCCTCTTGTGAAGAACCTCTTCTAGCAAGACTAGCTTGTCCCTCTCTGACTGCTGCAGGTTTGACAATGGGATGCCAGTCCACTTGCTTACAATTTCAGCAATATCAAGGTCAGAGACCTCTTCCCTAAGCATGGAATTACCAGACTTCTGGAAGTCAGAGAGGTTCTTCTCAGCCTCTTCCAACTGGCGCTGAAGAGACATCAAGGTTCCATACTTTAGTTCAGCAGCACGGTTCAAATCATACTCCCTCTCAGCAGCCTCCATCTCAAGGTTAACTCTATCAATCTACAATACAATTTACAAGAGATACATCAGGTGAAAAATTCTATGAAGATATTACTGAGAAGTTCCATATCAAACTAATGAGAAGCCCTACCTCCTCTTTAATTGATCGTATCCGAGTCATAAGTGACTTTTCATGTTCCCATTGTTCTGTGAGTTCTTTCTGTTTCTGTTTAAGGGAGTCTAAATCATGTTCCAGCTTGCTCAACCGTTCTTTGGAGGCTTTATCAGTATCATTTTTCAGGGATAGCTTCTCCATCTCTAACTTTAGCACAGACCTGTCTACTTCATCCAATTCAGTGGGCTTTGAAGTGATCTCCATTTTAAGTTTTGCAGCTGCTTCATCAATGAGATCAATGGCTGCAGGAAAAAAATAGTTGAATTCTGATTTACACCACAAATGGCTGTAGAGAATCATGTCAAAATCATAAAATATTAAATCCATAAGATTGATCATTCCATAAAGAATATTAATCAAGCAAGCTACTCTGTTATCCATGAAAGACATTTTTTTTCTTGTATAGTTGTATTATGTTTAGGTGAACAATCGACCCACACATTGTGTGGACAAATACCAGATAAGAGTGCAAGGCCAATGCATACAGTAATAATCCAAATTTCAACAATTTTCTCAGAAACTAAGCACAGCCTAAAGGAAAGAACATGTTAGTTTATCATCTTTAACAAAGCCAATATATGGTAATGATATTGTAATGTTATGCCAAAAGTTGGACAATTAAATTCATTTTTTATTGATAACATTGAATTTTATTTCTTGCGAAAAGGAATATTTACAAAATTGAAAGCGGATTTTTAGGCCATTATTCTACCTAACCCTTCCCTCCATATTTTGCTATGGATTTTTTTTCACATTCAGCTTTCATTGGTAATTCCCCAAAACATATATTCCCTATTGACCCCTTATCGAGCAAGTGAATCAACCAAGCAGTTTGCCGACTGTGGCATCCAATTTACTGAAACAACCATTTACCTTGTTAATTGTGTGATTTCCCTTAAAGCATGTTTATATTGTCAAGTACCTTGGCAGTCATTCTTTAACCAACCTAACACGGTTTTGAAGTATCCTTCCACCACTAGGTTTCTCATGGTCAACCTCTTGCCCAGCTTAAGCCCTGCAGAACAGAAAACATCTCTATCCTTGTGGAATCCCCATTCTCCAATGCCTATTGGACCTTCAATTTTTTTTGATAGATCCTATTGGACCTTCATTGTCCATGCATTTGACACATGGACCATGTTTTTGGTATTTGATGAGGGACACACATCTTTGAATCACTCTTCCAACCAGAAAATTACCAACCACACTTATAGCACCACTATTTACCTTTGTCAGGTAAAAACCGCTCAGTAATGTACCGATCCGAAAGAACTGCTGCTGAAACAAGGGCACTATCTGATATTTTGACACCGTGGTGTAGCTCGTAACGTTCACGTAATCCACGAAGAATGGAAATTGTGTCTTCTACAGATGGCTGACCGCAAAACACCTGCTGGAATCTACGCTCCAGAGCAGGATCCTTTTCAATGTATTTTCGGTACTCATTCAATGTTGTTGCTCCTATACACCGGAGCTCACCTCGACCAAGCATCGGTTTCAATAAATTGCCAGCATCCATCGCCCCACTTGTGGCCCCTATAACAATCAGAAAGAAAACCACCATGATCAACAAATACTAATAAATGGAGGAAAATAAAATAAAACAGAACACAACAAGCTCACATTCGGCTAAATTAACACAATGAAGAGGAGAACAAATTATATGCTAATTCAAACATACTCTAATTGCTGCCTCTTCAGCCTCTACACATTTGTTGACTATCATCACAAGCTCAAAAGAAGAATAAAGAAAAAAAAATATGAACACTAGCCTTGCTACTGGATCTCATATACTTTTAGGCCAGGAGTTACACCTTAGATAATGCAGATTATTCTTGACAAAAGCAGAATTTTCTACTAGTAAACAGAAGTCCTTTTTACCCGGGAAACAACATGAGCAACAAGAAAAGAGCTTGATGAATTAAAAAGGATTTGAGATTTATTGAATGAATAATTACTCCACATTCTCTTAGAAGTTCAAAAAATACATTGTCTATAAAACAATAATTAATAAAAGCAATTCAAGATTGGAGTAGTTTCAGGCACAGAGACAATTGGGATATTTTTTCCATTTGTTCACTTTATGTAGGAATAGACATTATACTAAAGCATTACAACACAAGTTTTCTTATTAAAATTCTAAAGCTGAAAACAGAAGAATCAATGTGAAAAAAAATCAGGAAAACTTGTTGAGAAAAACATACCAATATCTACAAAAAGACAATTTATTTATAAGAAATCTTCAAGAAACATACCAATTATAAAAATGAAATTTTCTAATTCTATAAAAACAGCTCGCCCACTATGACTAATAGGTTCTTTATAAAACTTTTAAAGTTACAGAACACAAACCAGCACCAACAACAGTGTGGATCTCATCAATAAATAAAATGATCTGCCCATTGGAAGCAGTGACTTCCTTCAAAACTGCTTTTAACCTTTCTTCAAAGTCTCCACGGAATTTAGCACCAGCAATAAGTGAGCCCATATCAAGTGAGATCAACTGCAGAGCACAAGAAATGAGCAAACAACTACCAAAATAAATCAATCTACCAAAAGAATTTCCTTTTCTGGAAAACAAAATTGCACTTAGAGAAAACAACTAACAGAAAAAATTAAATGTACTTAAAGTGACCCAACAACTAAAGTGAAAAGCGCACAACCTTCCGATTCAGTAGAGGTTCAGGAACATCCCCCCGAACAATCCTTTGAGCTAATCTGCAAGACAAACAAAATGTTTAAGACTATATATGTCAGGTAAGAAAGGAAGCATCAGAAATAGGTCCACAACATCTATTTGACACATATTTATCAAGGCAATTTTCCAGGTAAGAGCATTGCCATTTGAAATAACCAAATTCCTATGGAAGCCAGAACTCAGGAAATAGGTCCACAACATCTATTTGACACATATTTTATCAAGCCAGAACTCAGGAAACTGGATTGATACAAATTACTTGGTTGGTCATGCCAAGAACTTGGGTACACAAGAACATATAATGATAATTTATCTTAGGTTTAGCATATCTTTTAGCGTGTCATTGTAAATGCCTTTGCAATTGCATGGTCTAGCATGTCTTTGTTTGACTTTAAGAAGCTAATACCAGTTAGAGAATCAATTGATTAGATGTGTACGTTCTTTTACTTATACAGACTTATTTTGTTCTTATTTGCATGCTCACTTTATTCTTATATTGATGGATTAAATATAGGTCCATACTGCATTTTGATGAAGACAATAAAAAATTAAAAAAAAAAAAATCACCCATTGTTGATCCCAGCTATCTGGGGTCTTGAGAGAGGTAGACCTGATATGAACCTAACCTTTGACAATTTTTGGCACAAAGAAGCCACTCTCAGATTTGAACCCACATTCTCATACTTTCCAGCAAGAGGTTTTACCATTACACCAAGCAGTGGCCCCAATTTTGATGAAAAAGCAAATATGTACTATACTTCTATATGGTTTAGGAAGCATTATTCAGGTCTATGGTATATCAAATCCCATGATACCTAAATGCCTGTATAAGGATGCTCTGTAGTGTTTTTTTTTGGGTAAAATTAAATTCATTAAAGAACCAAACAATACGAAACACTACAGCAAACCAAACCTACAACACAACACACCAACCTAAAACTAACAAATATCAAAAGGCCCAAGATCTTTCTGAATGCAACCCAGAAGCCAAGAAATTGGGGAAAGCAATGGGTTCACCAATTCAACAAAACCTTTTTGAGCTGCTTCATGAGCAGCAACATTCCCGACTCACTTAACAAAGCAAAGCTTAATGTTAATCTGTAACTGATTAATCAAAACCATAATGTCCATCACAAAATTAAATTCAATTGGTGTTTCCTGTTGATAAGACCTTCAATGAGACTCCATTTTTCACTTTCAATAATGTGATTCACTCCCAGCCTTTTTAACCATGAATAATAGCTCCTTGAGTGCCCACATATCAGCATGAAACGGGCAGCTAAGTGAGCATCAACCCCATTTTGCAGCAAACGAAAGAGCTATTGCAATCATAGATCACAACACCATTTGGCCCTTCACCACTTCACTTCGAAACCCTATCATTACTTTCCTTCAGTCACCCACCCTCAGGAGGGTGCTGTATAATGTCAGATTTATATCTGACGCCATGTCCTTGCCATATCTGGGCAATATATCCCACCATCCCCTGCTTTCAAAATCTAGAATGAAGGCACTTCTCCAAATTCTCAGGCACTGATCTCCAAAGGAATTAAAAGGATTTTCTGGTAATGAACTTCAAATAGAAGCTCCTTTGGTAATCCTGGGCCCACCAGGATAGAAGGGATTTTAACAAATACAGATTCATATTATGGATCTTCAGAAGTCCTAATATCAATTCTATAAAGGCTAAGGTATTGATCCTCCTCACGGGTTGGATTGGATTGCTAATATATTGTGCTTCATCCTTGGCTGTTGAAGGATATTCTGCTAACACCATCAGATGGAGAAGTGGGTGGGCTTAGGTTTTTAGGAATTTAACCCACCACAACAATCAAATAAGAGTTTGTGTCCTCTTAAGGTAAAATAAATTTGGGTGTCCAGATAAATGTACTCGGCAGCAACAATTTAGCAAAATATGGTGTGGGAGGACCTAGTTATGTAGGCATGGCCCTATGCCCACCTAAGTTCCTTGTTTGAAGGACAAGGTTTCTGGTAGACATTTTGTATATTGTTGTACATGCTCTGATTTTCACATTTTGTGTGTACTTTCTCACAAAAAAAAAAATCATCAACTTCATATCTTACTTTTCATGGTTCAGGAGATTTTTTTTTTTCTGGTAGGAAAACTTTGGGTAGGAAGTAGGAACAAAATCCACTGACTTTACCAGTAGAGCCATCTAGCACCTACAGTAATGACTATTATAGTGATTCTATGATTGGAAGTTGCTAATTCTACAAAAACAGCAGTATAACTCTGTAGTTAGTATTGTTCAGAAGTGATTCTATGCTTAGTATTGATCCCATTGAGGCAGAACGAGTCAGTTATGTCTTTCATTTATTCACATTGCTTTAGGCCTTAAAATTCAACATGGTTTATCTGAAATTTTGCCATCTTTTATAGAATAAATTTTAACTACATGTAGCAATTCTCAGTCTGACACTTGGTAAATTTTGAAATGAATATTTAAAATAAATTCAAAATTTGTTGTTTATAGTAAATATTAGGGTAAAAGACTTAAACCTCCCCTAAGGTTTAAGATAAATACTTATACCACCCCTATGCCTTCTGATTGGACTTAGACCTCCCCTATCAACAAGATATATCGTCATATTTAACAGATTCAATAAAATAACATTTTTTCCCTTCTTTGTTCTTTAAATTTTTAAAGAAAACCACCAAATTGTAATCAAAGAAAAATATGGGACAGAACAAAGAAAGATAAGGCTTACAAAGAAGATCATCTATCTCAACTAGCACTTCCATGATGTTTTGAGAGATTAGAATCAAATACACGTTTTTTAATTATAAACTTTGACGTGGCCTCTGTTGCTTTAAACCAAGCCTGTTAGTCCATTATTCAGAAATCAGAACCTCCTGATTTAATCATGACTTATTTCATGAAATAGTGTCATGTTATCTTCTTTGATTATTTTTACATCTTTACTACCATCATATCCTCCAACTATAATTCTAATTCAAGTATTTACTTATTTTGGTTTTTTTAGGTTTTTATATCAAAAGTAAGTTTAGGGACCTCTGACCTTTCCTTGCTCCATGTTCCATTCAATGTAATATGATATCAGGTGGCCAATGTTATCATTCAAAATCTTCTAGTTCCACCATTGCCAATCTTAGGTTCAGGTTCGGTAATGGGCCTGAGATTCAAGATTTGTGCAATTAGCATAGGTAGAATGTGATGTAGTCCATCTGGCTAAGTTTGGATCAATTACAAGTTTACAACACCTTCTACGAGTGTAAAGATGGTTTGCTTGATGTCACGTATGAATCTACCAGCATCTCTGTTTCAAACCACGGTTTTGGAACCATGACAAGGTTCCTGATGATCAACTTTCTTTCTATATACTCAATGCATTCAAGCCGCTAGCACTCCAAATCTAAATATTAGAATTTGAAATTGAAGGATCCGCTAACTATTTTGTTCAAGACAGAGTAGCACCACCGCTGGAAAATATGCAAGTCATGGAAGATGCAAGAAGAACTCGAGGATATATTACTCCTGAATTATGCTCCAGGGGGACGAAGAAAGAATATATAGATGGGCAAAATTGGGTTTTGAAAAAAAAAATTAACTAGCACATAATGTGATGTACAAACAGATCTGGATGGAGTGTTAATGGAGGGGAAGTATTTGTCTAGTGACATCACTCAATGAGGGAGGTCTAAGTCCAATTTAAAAAAACAGGGGATGTTTCAGTATTTAGGAGAAACCTCAAGGGAGGTTTAAGTCTTTTACCCTAAATATTAAAGCTCCTATTAACTTCTCAGCTTTTGCCTTTCCCTCACCAATTGATAGCTTCTGAAGACTAATCCTAACAAATCAACATTTTGCACTGGCTGTCCTACTGAAGCTTTTCATCTTTTCTTTTCCCACTTGCTATCATTTTACATGGCCTTGTGGTTGATATGTCCATAAGCTCCACAAAGTTTCCAAACAAAAAGAAGCATCAATCTCATTATACAATTTTAGAGGAAGTGATAGTTGGGACTAACATGGATTAATGGCCATTTTTTAGAGGAAATGGTAAAAAATCCTTAGAAGAATATGTTGTACAAATTTATTCAATTTGTTGGTGATTGATATAAGTTTAAATTTGCAATCAACTGGGTAAGAATAGATTTTTAGCATTAGATAAAATGGAACACATCAAAAAATTTTCCAAAGTACATATTAATGGATATTATGGGCACTAAATGAAAAGGAAAAAACAAACTTTACTCTAAAAAAAACTTACCCTTCAGCAATTGCAGTTTTTCCAACACCAGGCTCACCAATGATGACAGGATTATTTTTGGTCCTCCTAGATAATATCTGGATACAACGTCGAATCTCGTCATCCCGACCAATAACTGGATCAAGTTTACCACGCCTAGCGAGTTCAGTCAAGTCATTCCCATATTTTTCTAACGCCTCGTATTTTCCTTCAGGATCTACAGAATGAGAGAAAAATTATGCATGTGACTCTGATAAACTACTAAAGAAGAGCCCAAGAGAACCTTACAATATATGTATACAACAAAACAATTAAAAAACATCCAAGAAATACAATATTGGAAAACTGCAAAAGAAATAAGAGCCCAACCCTAGGACCAAAAAGAAAAAGAAGATAAACTAGGAGCAACAGACTATAGGAAACAGTTCTGACACATGATATCATTGAATTTAAGATCATCAAAGTTGAGATATCTATGTAGGCATACCCCCAAGGAAATTGACTTAAGTATTTATGGATTAAGACTTTAAGCTCCAGGGAACAGGGCATTTATCTTTTCACATCTTTAATCTAGAAGAGGGCCTTCCATATAATACCAAAATAATAGAAATCTTTAACTCAATCAGTAAAATGGTTCCACCTCACATCACCTAAATACAATAGCCATATATAGTTGTATAAGAAACTTGAGATAAGATATTAGATACTCTCCAGAGTGCAATTTCACACCCACACCGTTTTAGGAAAAAGGAAAAACATGAAAATCAGGATTGTATGGTCCACCTTAGGTAGAGTAGTGGATGACATCACCACCATTCACGAAAAGAGGCAGGTAAGATAATTGCTCCATTGTAAATGAAAACAACTAGATGCTACCAGAATTCCATCTTTGAAAAACTCTCAAATCTGATGCTATTTTACCAGAACTGCATATTTGAGGATAATGCACTACGCTTGTTGGTGTAAAAAGAAGCTTTTCAAGCAGCAAATTCAAACAAGAGAGTCAATACTTTGATCAGTTACTCGTTGATTTCCACGAACAGCTTGAACAGCATCCTTCAGTTCCTTCTCACCAAGCTGGAGATTCTTGAATAACTGTTGTCCAAACCTTCTGTCCGAAAGGAATGCTAGTACCAAGTGCTCCACGGACAAGAAATCGTCACCAAATTCTTTCTTATACTTTTTTGCTTTGTCCAACAGAGTCCTAAGATGAGAACCCAGTATAGGCCCGCTAGTGTCACCTGCAACCTGCTCATGAAATCCCTTAAAGTCATCAGAATTCCTCTCCGAATCTCTCATTTAAAATTAAGTAGAGATGGATACCTTAGGTTGTTGGTTGATAAAGTCATCTGTAGCCTGTAGAACTGATGTATTGTCAACGCCAGCCTTTGTGAAAATCCTCCGTGCCAGACCATCCCTTTGCTCCAGAAGAGCTTTCATTAAATGTTCAGATTCCACTACTTGTTGCTTGCTAATCCTTGCAGCATCGACAGCCCCAACAATTCCCTCCCATGCCATCTCAGTGTATTCCGACTGATTAATCTATTAGAAAATAAACAAACAGCAGCCGCATTCAAATTTCTACTCAGGTATTTAAAAACAATCGATCAAATTTCACCCTTTAGAAAACAAACCCTACGTCACTGAATCGACAACCCCAATACCCATTACAGAACCCATTAAAATTATTGCAGAAAAAATAACAAACCTGTGAGGAGCTCCCGCTGGAGTACGAGGGGGAGGAAGTCTGGTATTGGCGGCTGAAACTTCTATTGATGTGGTTGACAGACTTCGGCAGTAATATCTTGTCAGCAACTCCATCTGCAATTCCGGCTGGTGCAGAAGAAGAATCGATAAATGAGATACCGTTCGAGGCGATTACCGCACGGGAGAGTTCAGTGGGGTTAGATGGTAAGGGCCGACGGTGGTGGAGAGAGGAGAAGCAACGGCTCTTCCCTGCCTTCACAGCACCGTAGGCGGACCTTGCAAGCCTGGCCGTTCTGGCAGACATTTCGTTCGACGAATTGGGCCTCTGAGAAGAGCGGAACTTGGGATTCTCCGGTGGGTTTGCAGGCTTTAGGGTTCTTCTACTATGAAAAAGGAGGAAACTTGGGGAAGGAGTAAACCTGGTGGACGTTTTTCAGTTGGAACTTCGAACTGTGAGGAAGTCTGGAATTGTGAGGGAGGTTCTGGGTTCTGGCTTTTTCTTGTTTTAGTACCGGGTCAGGTCGGCCGGTCTGGCCTATTAAAGACGAAAATGGAACTATGGTACTCGTCATCCATTAAAAGACAATACAATAAGGGTCTGTTTCTGAGAATTTCTACAAAAAAAGGGTAAAATACAAAAACCTCCCTGAAGTTTATGACAATCATAAAAATCTCTTTTATAGTTTAATTTTAGCAAAAATCTCCCTTCTGTCAATGATGAAGACAAAAAACATTAAACTGATGAATTTTTTTCAAAATACTTATTTTACCCCTTTACCTGTGACGCATGGCACAACACGAGTTCTCTCTCTCTGCAGTAGTGATCCCTTCGTTTCTATTTCCAATCGGCTCAATCATTTCTCCGGCGAGATCCCAGCATCACTTGGTGTCATATGCCGCCAGAGTCGCAATAGTCGGTTTGCTCATAAAAGAATAGATTCAAAAAGTTGCAGTTGCACTAGTAAAGGGAAGTTGGGCGGTGGAGGTGAAGGCAAAAAATTGGGAGTGTGAAATCCTCCGACGAAGCCTCAAACGTTGGTGCAGTTCTCCCAATTTTTAAAGAAACCCGACTGTAAAGAGCTTCAGTGAAATAAAAGGCAACTCTTTCTGTCGGATCACTATGTTCGGACACTGATTCTCGGAGTTGAATAAGTGGTTTGACAGCTCGTTCGGGTGTAGAATCGGCCAGTCGGGCACAGTCCAGGAGAGATTTCAGCAGCGGCGACTTAGATTCCGTTTCAGATGATTAAGCTACGACAACAGCAGCATCACTCACCCTGTTGAACAGCGGCGGATGAATCACTATTGGGGAATCATCAGCTAGTGGTGGTGGCGAAAGCAATGGGGCTCACGTCTGGACTTGAGCTTTGAGCATGTTGGGATTTTTTCGGGCATCTGAGAAGACAAGCCGTTTGCATAGTTACCAGTGAATTTGTTCTCAGGAGGACGATAGGGGCCCTACATGGAATGAGTAAATTGAGGACTGCAGCAGAACCGAAAACTCAAGAAACCATCAAATAAATGAGACAACATTAAAAGATCGTAGGGCCACAACGACCCCATCTCTTCAATCCATTCAACCAGGGAGATCCCAAATGTGAGCCACAACAAACAACAATCCCCATCTTAGTCTTAGATAGTGTCTAGCTCCTGCGAGGGAGTATAGACCATAATTAATCTGTAAATACCCTATTTCTTCCCGTCATCAAAAGAGATCAATCACCACCAAGGAGATTGATCAACCATCTCAATACTAACCACGTTCTATATCTAATATCCAGTGGCCATATTCTCTTGCACGAAGTGCTCGTTCATTGTCGTATGGTAGGACCTAGGACGTATGTTCACAAACACTAATATTAGACTAACACATGTCCCATTACACGTGTGATGAAACACTTGTCACAAATTAAACGCAATTGTACAACAAGTGCAGCAGATCCAGACTCGAGAGAGTCTGAAACTCAAAAAACTGAATATGAAAAGAAGTTGAAGAAGAACTCACCGCAAAGAGTCGAAGCCAAATTGCCATTAGAGATGAGAAGCTTTTCATCAGTAATAAGCCCTTAATCTCACAATATTGGGGTGCTTAACCCGTCCGATCGCTTGTATTTCCGCTGCAAATTCTTTATACTCATGCCCTCCACCTTCACCTAATCTCCTCACCGCCACCGAAACTCCATTACCCAACATCACCTTGTATACGATCCCCAATCCGCTCTTACCCAAAACATAAGCCAACAATCTCAGAAGCTCATTCAGTTCGGACTTCGGACGCGAACCCTTTATTGATCGCAACCAGACCACCTTCTCCTCCTTTATTACTTCCTGCCTTCTCATCAGACTCCAGCTCCGAATTGTCACTGCTCAGGAATGCATTCCAACAAGAGCAAGAAGACAATTTTTTCCTTCACCTCCACCGCCCAACTTTCCTTTACCAACTTTTTGAATCTTTCTTTTACAATATACATAGACGATGAGCAAACCGACTACTGCGACTCCGGCGGCATATGACACCACAATTAAGATTAGTAAACTTGTTTTCAATCCTATTTTTTGGATTGGTATCTAATACCACTGTCTGATTCTGGTTCACTGTGGTGTTCTTTTGGTGATTCCCGCTGCAAGGTTTCCGGAGAGGAAATCCACACAAGCAGGGATTGTGGAGGAATGCGGTCGGGCCTGATTTGCAAAAGTTCCAGTCTGAGGGATTTCTCCGGTGAAGTTGTTATGCCTCAGATTGAAGCTCACCGTTATCGGCAATCTCCCAAGTGATGCCGGGATCTCGCTAGAGAAATGATTGAACCGACTAGAACTAGAGCCGCGTTAGAGAGATAACTCGTGTTGTGCCATGCGTCGTAGCTAGAGGGATAAAATAGGTATTTTGAAAAAAATTAAAATAGAAGGGAGGTTTTTATCGGTTTTTTTGAAAATAGAAGGGAGGTTTTTGCTAAAATTAAACTATAAGGGAGATTTTTATGATTATTAAAAACTTTAGGGGATTTTGTATTTTACCAAAAAAAACTTGTATAGAATCTTCGATTCAATTCTCATTTTTACCCAAGATGAAATTCTAAAATGGACAAGAATGGGTAAAAAAAGGCAGAATGAGAAAATATTGCTACGAATCAAACACTTTTTTCCTAAAAGTGAATTATTTTCAAATTGACAGTGTTCTATATAAAAGTACTTTTATAAAAGTGTTTTTGTAAAAATATTTCTATAAAAGTGCTTTTGTAAAAGTACTTCCGTAAAAGTGCTTTTATAAAAGTACTTACATAAAAGTGCTTTTATAAAAATGTTTTCATAAAAGTATTTTTGTAAAAATGATTTTACAAAAGTACTTTTATAATAGTGCTTTCATAAAAGTGCATTTATGTAAATGTACTTTTATAAAATTGCTTTCATAAAAGTACTTTACGGTAGTAAACTAGTAAACATCTATGGAAGTAGTTTTGTAGGCATATTTTCCTCAAAGAATGAAAATGAGCAAGATGGGGTATGATTATTTTCATGCTGCAATGTAACAAGTGTTCTCTTCGCCGCGCCATCAAGTGCCAACCATCGTGCCTATAGCTGCCACTCCAGTGTCCAAGTGTGTGTCATGGGGGGGCTATGCATGTGTTTTTGTATTGGGGATTGCCAATGGCATTATTGTAATACTGTAGTATGATTTTTCACCTTTTTGATGTTTTCTATTGTCACTCCCCCAAAAGCTTAACATACTCTTTGAGGGGAGGTAGGTAGTCGAGTGAGCTCATAAGCGTGTAAAGGTTAAGCACGAGATCCCCTCGACACTGTATTGTATGCTTGTGCTTACCACTGATTATTGCAATACAAGTAGCCTTTTGCTAATTCGTGTGTCATCTTGTTGCCTTTTTGTATGTGTTTGCTTTGTTGCGTAGGCTTACTCGCCCCTTTCGAGTGCTGCACGGGGCCCCAACGATTATCCCCGTGACAGTTGGTATCAGAGTAGGAGCTCCTTTTAAGCCATTCGACTCGCGATGCGAGTGACAGCATGAAGCACAACATGGACATCGTGGAGGAGATCGAGCATGGACTCTCCACAGCCCATGAGGCCGATGATGCGCCCGTCGACGACATCGGCAAGGACAAGGCACCGAAGCCCAGCAAGCGTGAGAAATCTTCCAACAAGCATGCAGCCGTTGAGTTGCGCATGCTGCGCTGCGAAGCCACCGTAGGTGAGATGCAAGACTCGATAGACGAGCTGCATCAAAACATGGAAGGCATGGACAACACACTGGTCGAGATTGAAGGTCGCTTGAGTGGAGTCGTGGACGAGGTTCGGGACATAATCAATGGCACGCTCAAGCAAATTTGCAGCACTATGCGCCAACAAGAAGCAAGATCCTCCAACTCGCAGGTTTAAGACAGGCTTGACAGTTTTCAAACCCAGCTCGATGAGATGAAGAAAGAGTGGGCAACGTGGAGAAGAAGCACCTCCACATCAATGGCCGTTCAGGCCCAACTAGATGAAATGAGAGCGGAGTGGGCCTCAATGAAGTCCGCCGCATGTGCCTCCTCCAACACCCAAGCTCAATTAAGAGGAACTCAAAGCAGAATGTGCAATCCTGAAGAGGGTCGTCGCTAATCCAGCTAGCACTTCATTTGCACATACTCCCTCCCACATCAAGATTAGGGAGCCAACTCCCTATTCGGGTACCTGCAATGCACGAGAGCTTGACAACTTCATGTGGCAAATGGAGCAGTACCTTGCCGCCTGATGAAATGACTCGGGTGCGTACTGCTACTATGTATTTGACTGATGTCGCTATGTTGTGGTGGCGCAGAAGGTGTGTTGATATAGAACGTGGTACGCGTGTTATCCGTACCTGGGCTGACTTTAAAAGAGAGTTGAAGAGATAGTTCTACCCAGAGAACGTGGAATACCTCGCTCGTCGCAAGATGAAGACTCTCAAGCACGACGACTCCCTCCATGACTATGTCAAAGAGTTTTCAGCCCTCACATTAGAAGTCACCGATATGTCAGACAATGACTTATTGTTCAACTTCATGGATGGCCTAAAGCCTTGGGCCGAGCTCGAGCTCTAACGACGCAATGCTCAGGACCTTGCCTCCGCCATGGCCATGGCTGAACAACTTAGTGAACGGAGACTGTCCGATGACGAAGGAAGCAGACCAGCTAGCCAGCGTACCACACATTCGAGTGGGGGAGATAGACAACCAAGTCCCCTGAAGGAGAAGCCACCCTTCAACCACAAACCAGTCGAGCACCACAAAGGGAAGCAGCCACAAGGAAGTCAAAGCTACTACAACAACAGATATCAAGGGAGACCAAGCTATCCTCCCATTTGCTACATTTGTGGGGAGGAGCACTTCACCAGGAATTGCCCAAAGCGAGCAAAGCTGAATGCCCTCATTGCCAAGCTAAGTGATGATGAGCAGAGTGATGGGGAACGGAGTACCCAGGCGCCAAGAGTGGGTGCCCTCCAA